GACTGTCAAAGACAACGAAGATGGCTATTACTATGGACGCATGGACCTCGCTGACCACTGAGTCCTACATAACACTAACGTGTCATTACATTTCTGAATGGGAAATACATAGTGCAGTGTTGGAGACGCGCAGTTTCGACGAACGACATACCGCAGATGCGAAGACACTGGACTTGAAAGATGAGCACTGGCGGATAATGGAAGAACTGATACCTGTTCTCCAGTCTCTGAAGTGCGCCAGTGAGACGCAAGTTTGCGTTTCGATGGTCAATCCGATCACACATAGCCTAATCACTAAACACACAGACCGGTGAGTCTCCAAGAGTTTCGGGATTCAAGACAGCAGTGGCAGAATCTCTGAAACGGCGCATAGTCACTGTTGCTGAGGATGCTGAGAAAGTGTCTTTACCTCTGATTGCTGCAACATTGGATCCAAGCAGGGCCGTCGCTAGTGGGGTGAAAGGTGGTGACAATTATAGGGGCCCCCGCTGCCCAGGGGGCCCCACAAAATCCAGCAGTTATACTATTTAGGCCCCTGTTGTATGAATAATTCTAATATTTATATTAGTTGTATGCCTGAGATTTAAATGAAAACCACAAAAACGTGCAATTTGTGTAAATATTTTTCCAAATATCGTCTTCTCTTACCCTCCATAAAAATGGTTTAGTCCGACCTAAAGTGTGTATTAATTATTCAGTCAGAGTCAGTGACAAACATCAGATGGACCCAATAAAATTGTAAGTCCCGCCCCAGCTCGTGAACAGAACCAATCAGAGTCGAGGCGGCAGCCTGAAGTTAACGATGAACTTGGTGGAAGAGCAGGAGACTGACTGACTGAAAAATGTCGGGGAAAAGAAAACAAATCAGGGAACCAGAAATGCCAGGAAAAGACGGAGAGGGAGGCAAGGAGAGTGGTTGTATCCCAGTCGATCAAGACGTTCTTAAAGACCGGTTATGTATTGTTATTTCGCTGGGAATTAGAAAACTTCCGTCTACAGTCTGCCGTGTACAGTCATTTTTTATTATCGGTGCGCGCCGCAATCGACCGAATGATTACGTGGTCTAAATTCCTGTCTTTTTACACTATTGTAACTAGAGTTTTAAAAAAATTACACGAGTCACGACGCATTGCATTATGCATCTGACCTGCCGGCGAATGATATTTAAAACATCGAGAAAACACGAATACAACACACTGCACTTGGATGAATAAATGTATTCGCTTTATTTAATAATATTACCAGTTCCATATTATCTTTATTAAAAAATAAGACAATGAATGCTTTTATTTTTTGAATTAGACTGCATTCTTGTCAATTTTTTAAATGTTTACTTTTTGATTTATGAATTATAACAGACTGATGGGGAAAAAAAATTATTACTTTTTAAAAATTGGTTTTATTATTATTTAACAATTTCTTGCTTTTTTATTAGTTGTAATTTTTATATAAACATTTAACTTTTAAAATAAAGGTTTTACAACAACATCACCATCTTCTGTTATGTGGGCCTCCATGTTCATCTATTGTACAGTATATGATGAGGGTGGTGGGGGCCCACATCAATATTTTTTCAGGGGGCCCCGAATCCTCTAGCTACGGCCCTGGATCCAACACACAAACATCTGAAGTTTCTTGACACAGAGCTTCGAGAGAGAGTAAACGAGAGTCTGAAACAGCTTTACGACAGCGTTACAGATTCTGTCACCCATTCAAAATAACCCTCAGCCTGATCGAGCAGCGGCTACTACTGCGCTCGGTGAGGATTACGGCGCCGGCGCGAGTGATTTTTGTTCGCGTGACACTGAAATCGAACGCTACTTCAGTGAGCCATGCTTCTCTGTAAACCAGGACCCTCTACTGTGGTGGAAGGTAAATGAGACTCGGTTTACAAAGCTGAGCATCATTGCCCAGTGGTACTTAGCTGTTCCTGCGACATCTGTTCCAGCGGAGTGTGTTTTTTCCACCGCCGGACTAATAGAACACGCCTCTCACCTGAGCACGTAGACCAACTTATCTTTTTGAACAACAATATGTAGGCTGTAGCCTGTTTAAGTTTCATCAGGCGTGGTAAAAAATAGGCCTATACAGGATTTTTTTTTGTGTGTGTTTGTTTCAATAAATGATTCTGTAGCAGTCGTTTGTTACTTTGTTAAACTTGTTAAATGAAAACTAGGCTGTTCGTTTTTGTTGTTGTTTCATAAGAACAGTTGAAATATGCGGCTGAAGTAGCCTAACACTGAAGAGAACGTTTTATTTACTGTTGAATAAAGTAGCCTAAAAGTATCAAGTGTGTTCATTTTTATGATGACATTTCCTATGATATTCATATCATATTCAGTCATGTGTTGTTCAGTAGTTTAAGTCCGTTTTACTCTGACTAAAGTGTAATGTTAGTCAATATAATGCAAAATAACATTTTGTTTTATCAGAAAGTGCTAATGTAATCCAAAATATTAAATTGATATCATTGTCTCCATGACTGACACACCCCGCCACCTACCCCGAATAAGCCACGCCCCCGAGTACTCGTTTTTTGAGACCTATCAATGATCGAAATAAGAAATTGGCAAAAATGCCCATCCCTAATTTGAATTTTTACAAAAATCATTTGTCATGTGTCAAATACAGAGCACACACCTTCGCAACATGTTGACAGTTTAATCTAGACCATATATTTGCTTTAATGGGTTCATATGTTGCTATTTTAGAAGTTAATTTTCTAAAGAAGTTTATTGGGTGTGATAGATATTAACATGCAATGTTCAAAAAACACATTATTTTTCACACATACTGTGCATTATTACAGCGCCTCTGTTCCCAGTCCGTCTGAAACACTCTGATGAGTTCTGGCTTTTTGAGGATTTAAAAAAAAGGATTGAATGGATTTTTTTCATTGTGTCCACACACACACTACACACACCATATAAAAGTGAATTTTGCATCATGACCCCTTTATCTAATGGACTCCCGTTCCCTGTCCCGTCAGCTTCATCGGCACCGGGATCCAGTACTGCTTCACACGGAACCTGCACATCTACTCCACACACTTCTACTTCAGTTACTCCCTGCGCGTGCTGACCGGCGCACTGGCCTGTGTGTTCCTGTGTGTGTGTGTGGACCGCTTCGGCCGCAGGGGGATCTTACTGCTGTCAGCCATCGTCACGGGCCTGTCCTCGCTGCTGCTGCTCGCTCTCACACAGTGTAAGAGACACACACACACACACACACACACACACACACACACACATCGTCACGGGCCTGTCCTCGCTGCTGCTGCTCGCTCTCACACAGTGTAAGAGACACACACACACACACACACACACACACATCGTCACGGGCCTGTCCTCGCTGCTGCTGCTCGCTCTCACACAGTGTAAGACACACACACACACACACACACACACACATCATCATCACGGGCCTGTCCTCGCTGCTGCTGCTCGCTCTCACACAGTGTAAGACACACACACACACACACACACACACACACATCATCGTCACGGGCCTGTCCTCGCTGCTGCTGCTCGCTCTCACACAGTGTAAGACACACACACACACACACACACATCGTCACGGGCCTGTCCTCGCTGCTGCTGCTCGCTCTCACACAGTGTAAGAGACACACACACACACACACACACACATCGTCACGGGCCTGTCCTCGCTGCTGCTGCTCGCTCTCACACAGTGTAAGAGACACACACACACACACATCGTCACGGGCCTGTCCTCGCTGCTGCTGCTCGCTCTCACACAGTGTAAGAGACACACACACACACACACACACACACATCGTCACGGGCCTGTCCTCGCTGCTGCTGCTCGCTCTCACACAGTGTAAGAGACACACACACACACATATCGTCACGGGCCTGTCCTCGCTGCTGCTGCTCGCTCTCACACAGTGTAAGACACACACACACACACACACATCATCGTCACGGGCCTGTCCTCGCTGCTGCTGCTCGCTCTCACACAGTGTAAGACACACACACACACACATCGTCACGGGCCTGTCCTCGCTGCTGCTGCTCGCTCTCACACAGTGTAAGACACACACACACACACACACACACACACACACACATCATCATCACGGGCCTGTCCTCGCTGCTGCTGCTCGCTCTCACACAGTGTAAGACACACACACACACACACACACACACACACACACATCATCATCACGGGCCTGTCCTCGCTGCTGCTGCTCGCTCTCACACAGTGTAAGAGACACACACACACACACACACATCGTCACGGGCCTGTCCTCGCTGCTGCTGCTCGCTCTCACACAGTGTAAGACACACACACACACACACACACATCGTCACGGGCCTGTCCTCGCTGCTGCTGCTCGCTCTCACACAGTGTAAGACACACACACACACACACACACACACACACACATCATCGTCACGGGCCTGTCCTCGCTGCTGCTGCTCGCTCTCACACAGTGTAAGACACACACACACACACACACACATCGTCACGGGCCTGTCCTCGCTGCTGCTGCTCGCTCTCACACAGTGTAAGAGACACACACACACACACACACACACATCGTCACGGGCCTGTCCTCGCTGCTGCTGCTCGCTCTCACACAGTGTAAGACACACACACACACACACACACACATCATCATCACGGGCCTGTCCTCGCTGCTGCTGCTCGCTCTCACACAGTGTAAGACACACACACACACACACACACACACACACATCATCGTCACGGGCCTGTCCTCGCTGCTGCTGCTCGCTCTCACACAGTGTAAGACACACACACACACACACACACATCGTCACGGGCCTGTCCTCGCTGCTGCTGCTCGCTCTCACACAGTGTAAGAGACACACACACACACACACACACACATCGTCACGGGCCTGTCCTCGCTGCTGCTGCTCGCTCTCACACAGTGTAAGAGACACACACACACACACATCGTCACGGGCCTGTCCTCGCTGCTGCTGCTCGCTCTCACACAGTGTAAGAGACACACACACACACACACACACACACATCGTCACGGGCCTGTCCTCGCTGCTGCTGCTCGCTCTCACACAGTGTAAGAGACACACACACACACACACACACACACATCGTCACGGGCCTGTCCTCGCTGCTGCTGCTCGCTCTCACACAGTGTAAGACACACACACACACACACACACACATCATCATCACGGGCCTGTCCTCGCTGCTGCTGCTCGCTCTCACACAGTGTAAGACACACACACACACACACACACACATCGTCACGGGCCTGTCCTCGCTGCTGCTGCTCGCTCTCACACAGTGTAAGACACACACACACACACACACACACACACATCATCATCACGGGCCTGTCCTCGCTGCTGCTGCTCGCTCTCACACAGTGTAAGACACACACACACACACACACACACACACATCATCATCACGGGCCTGTCCTCGCTGCTGCTGCTCGCTCTCACACAGTGTAAGACACACACACACACACACACACACACACACACACATCATCATCACGGGCCTGTCCTCGCTGCTGCTGCTCGCTCTCACACAGTGTAAGAGACACACACACACACACACACATCGTCACGGGCCTGTCCTCGCTGCTGCTGCTCGCTCTCACACAGTGTAAGACACACACACACACACACACACATCGTCACGGGCCTGTCCTCGCTGCTGCTGCTCGCTCTCACACAGTGTAAGACACACACACACACACACACACACACACACACACATCATCATCACGGGCCTGTCCTCGCTGCTGCTGCTCGCTCTCACACAGTGTAAGAGACACACACACACACACACACAATGACCAAATGCTGTTCTGGGTAATGAAACGATCCTGCTTTATAATTAGGTGTGTAAGGATTCACTCGTTTTCCCGATGCGTTGATTAAAGCTGCTGATGATGCATATGCATTAATCTTCAATTTTTGAGTCGTTTGTTTTGATTTTAAATGCTTAGAATCAAATGAATCGTGATTCGATAGCGATTCAGTGCTTTAAAATACAGTCCGGCCAAAAACAAAAGTGGCTGTTTGGATATAAATAGGAAGATTCTTAAGAGTCTATGATTGGTCCATTATTGCTGCGATTATTATGTTTCTATATGTTTATAGTAACAGTTCTTCTAGCCCTGATTGATGGAGTGTGTAGCTTTTCATTTCTTGAACATCCATGTATGAAGAACATCACGGCCATATTCCAGGATGATAATGTCCAGATTCATGAGGCTCAAACTGTGAAAGAATGGTTGTGAGGAGCATGAAGAGTCATTTCCACACATGAATCGGCTCCTTAAACTCATTGAAAGTCTTTGGGATGTTCTGGAGGAGGCTTTACAGAGGGCTGGACTGACAATACAAGATCTTGAGCAAATATTAATTTATTCCCATCAAGAGGTGCATCAATATTTGGTCAAGAACTGCTGCCAAACATATAACATGCTAGAAACATAATGACTCTTATGCATTTGCCTATTTAAATCCAAACAGCAGCGACGACTTTTTTTTTTTTTTTTTTTTTGACAGGCAGTGTATTATTATATTATACTGTGCACATGAAAGGTTGTGTAGCCTATACATGAACACTATCCTCCTACACAATAGTTAACATGAACTAACAATACTTTTAAAGCCTCGGGCTTAAGGACATTTCTACATATTCCAATCATTACAGGCTTTTAATAAAGGTCATTACGGACTATACATGATCTAGCACTGGTCAGAAGGCTTTCTGCTCCCACTCTCTGACATTTCAATCACTCTATGAATCCACTGAAATAAATGCAGAATCCAGTGGTTAATCGAATCTCATTGGGAATCTCAGTCTCAAATCGAATCATTCCTGCATGTAAAATCTCAGAATCGTGAGTCGATTCGCTGTCTACCCAAACTTTCACACCCCTACTACTTATAACTCATTTTAGCACACATCAAAGACACTATGGCATGTATCCTTCATGGAGTTAGCAATCCCAGAATGCTTTGCAACAAGCTCAGTGGAAATTTTGAATGTGTGGATCTAATGTAGAGTTGCATTTCCATCTTTCTTTGAGATTTTGTTCAGTTTTTGTTTTTCTGCTGAAAGATTGCTCTCTTTCTCTCTCTATTGTTTTAAACAACATTTTTAAATGTTTTAATGAGCGTTTATCAATGGTTTCAAATATTCCCAGAGCCGCAAGTATTAATATCAGGTGTTTAATTGTATATTACGTCATGCAAAAAATGGCGATTCACATTACAAGAGAGCAGAAAGTTGATCACGGTGCGTGTGATAGTCTAGAAGCAGTGTTTGCTAATGCAATACAAAGCAATGTATGAGCTCATGAAGTTTGACTTAAGCTGGTGTTGTAAAGGTGTATTGTGTGAAGCTGTTAACGCGGAGTCATGTGTTCTCTGTCAGATCTGCACGGAGGGCTGGTCCTGGTTCTGTCAGTGCTGGGTCTCCTCTCGTCTCAGGCTTTAGCCATGCTCAGCGTGTTCTTCGGCAGTGAAGTCATGCCCACCGTCGTGCGGTAATCTCCTGATTTCTGTTTCCAGTTTCAAAATACTAACATTCGATTTCCTTCAATGATTATGGCTTACAGATATGAAAACCTTTTCACAATATTCTAATTTTGAATTTGGGGTTTTCATAAGCTGTAAGCCATAATCATCAAAATTATAACAAATAAAGGCTTGAAATATCTCACTTTGCATGTAATGAGTCTATATAATATATTAGTTTCACCTTTTAAAGGGATAGTTCACCCATAAATGTAAACTCTGTCAGTAATTACTCTCCCTCATGTTGTTCAACCCCGTAAGACTTTCGTTCATCTTCGGGACACAAATTAAGATATTTTTGATTAAATCTGAGAGCTGTCTCACTCCTCCATAGGCTTCTTAAGGGATCGAAACTGGCCGGGCCAGAAAAGTTATTAAAGACATCGTTAAAATAGTCCGAGTGACTACAGCGGCTCAACCTTAAGTTTATCAAGCGATGAGAATACTTTCTGTGCAAAAAAATAAAAATAACGACTTTATTCAACTAATCATTTCCTTCTCTGTGGGCCTCGAGTGAGTTCACGTAGTGAAACTGTGCAAAGCTTCTGGGTTGTACGTCACACGCAGGCTCACTATTGGCCGACGCTGGTCATGTGTGTGTGTGTGTGTGTGTGTGTGTGTGTGTGTGTGTGTGTGACGTACAACCCAGAAGCTTTGCACAGTTACACTACGTGAAATCTCGAGGCCCACAGAGAAGGAAATGAAGAGTTGAATAAAGTCGTTATTTTTATTTGTTTTTTGCGCACAAAAAGTATTCTCGTCGCTTAATAAACTTAAGGTTGAGCCACTGTAGTCACTCGGACTATTTTAACGATGTCTTTAATAACTTTTCTGGGCCGGCCAGTTTCGATCCCTTAAGAAGCCTATGGAGGAGTGAGACAGCTCTCAGATTTAATCAAAAATATCTTCATTTGTGTCCCGAAGATGAACGAAAGTCTTACGGGGTTGAACAACATGAGGGAGAGTCATTACTGACAGAGTTTACATTTATGGGTGAACTAACCCTTTAAGCTGAATTACTGAAATAAATGAACTTTTGCACCATATTCTAATTGTTCGAGTTTCGGCTGTATATCGGTCGATACCGATATGGTGACCGATATATCGTTAATCCCTAATAACCCCTTTAAAATGAAAGAAAAAATGGATAAACCTTGTGTACATCAGTTGTTAGTGTTATTAACTGTGTGTGTCCCTCAGCGGTGGCACGTTGGGTCTGATTATTCTTATCATTATATTATTTTATTCATAACTGTAAAGATAATGACCGCATTTCATTCCATCCCTAATAACCCCTTTAAAGTGAAAGAATAAATGGACATGTCACACGGGTATATTTGTGGCAATAGCCAACAATACACTCACTGTATGGGTCAAAATTATCGATTTTTCTTTTATGCCAAAAATCAGTAGGATATTAAGTAAAGATCGTGTTCCATGAAGATATTTAGCAAATTTCCTACCGTAAATATATATTAAAAAAAGATATATTTTTGTAAATGGATGCAGCAAAAGCTTGAATAAATGCACGACTTTAAAGACGATTTTCTCAATGTTTCGTTTTTTTTGCACCCTCAGATTCCAGATATTCAAATAGTCATATCTCGGCCAAATATTGTCCAATCCTAACAAACCATACATCAATGGAAATCTGATTTATTCAGCTTTCAGATGATGTATACATCTCAATTTCAGAAATGTACCCATGTGACTGGTTTTGTGGTCCAGGGCCACATATCGTGAATAAAAAACAGCTATTGACCAATCAGAATCACGGACTGGAACTAAAATGGATAACTCTAGTGTACATCAGATGTTTGAGTGTTGTAAACTGTGTGTGTGTGTGTGTCCTCAGCGGCGGCACGTTGGGTCTCATCATGTCTGCGGGGTGTGTAGGAATGGCTGCGTCGTCTCTGATGGAGCTGCAGAATAACGGAGGATACTTCCTTCATCACGTGGTGTTCTCCTCCTTCGCTGTGCTCTCGGTGCTGTGTATCATGCTTCTGCCCGAGAGCAAACACAAGCCCCTGCCGGACTCGCTGAGAGACGGAGAGCGTCAGCGGCGTCCTCCGCTCTTCCTCTCGCGGGTGAACCGGGAAAACCCACCGCTACTGCGCACGCAGACGCTCAGCGCCGAGTTCAACCGCCAAAACTACTCTCGTCTCGTCAGCGCAACCAGGAAGATCCTCGCTAAAGACGCCGTGCCTCTCAAGATCTCCAGCGTCACACACACACACACACACTCACAAGCTCAGGCTCCTCTGCTGGACTGTAACGGCACTGCACCGGACGCCCGTGAGGATGAGTCCTAGCATTACACTGAAACACACACACATATACACAGTCACACACAAACACACACATATATACACACTCACACATATACACACACCTACAAACACACACATATATACACACACATACATATACACACACACACAAGCTCCTCTACCGGACAATAACCGCACTGCACCGGACGCCCGTGAGGCCTAGCATTACACTGAAACACACTCAAACACACACACACACACACACAAACACACACATATACACACATTCACACATATACACACACCTACAAACACACACATATATACACACACACGCACATATACACACACACACACACTCTCAAGCTCGGGCTCCTCTGCTGGACTGTAACGGCACTGCACCGGACGCCCATGAGGATGAGTCCAAGCATTACACTGAAACACACACACACACACACATATACACAGACACACACACACACACATATACACAGACACACACACACACACAAGCTCCTCTACCGGACAATAACCGCACTGCACCGGACGCCCATGAGAGTCCTAGCATTACACTGAAACACACACAAACACACACACACACACATATACACACACACACACACTCTCAAGCTCGGGCTCCTCTGCTGGACTGTAACGGCACTGCACCGGACGCCCATGAGGATGAGTCCTAGCATTACACTGAAACACACACACACACACATATATACACAGACACACACACACACACAAGCTCCTCTACCGGACAATAACCGCACTGCACTGGACGCCCATGAGGATGAGTCCTAGCATTACACTGAAACACACACACACACATATATACACAGACACACACACACACACAAGCTCCTCTACTGGACAATAACCGCACTGCACTGGACGCCCAAGAGGATGAGTGCTAGCATTACACTGAAACACACACAAACACACACATATACACACACACACACACACACACAAACAAACACACACACAAACAAACACACACACACATATATACACACACACACACAGGTCCTCATCTCATAGCATGGACAACTTGTTCACCGTGTCTTTTCCCAGGGAAGACGTGGTCTTGGTGCTTAAACTGTTGAGAATCCGAGTATTTGACTGTTGAAGTGTTCATTTATTGTACATGTATTGTGTATGTCTATGCACAGATGTTGCTGGGAGACTCTGGTCATAGTTCATATACGCTCAAACATCATGTCTTCCTCCTCGTCTGAATGAAGTTTAAGCTTTAGGAACGTTCCCACTAATAGTCACTTGAGAGCCGTCGCCTGTCCACTTACAGGAGCACCTCATGCCTCTCATTAGTGCAGTCCTGTGACACACACACACACACACTGCTGGTTCACGGAGGAGTGCTGGAGATCATCCACTCAATATCACACTTTTACTCCTCAGAGTGGATGGATTCACACCCGATGATGTCAGAATCACTAGGAAACGAGTGTGAACGTGTTTGATGATGTCATTTTGTGGAACAGTTGCTCATCTCATGTGTTATTTTTGTCGTTCCTGTCTTTCTGAATGTCTTGTTTTTGTTTCTCAGAACCAAGCCTGGCTAAGCAAGGGAACTGTTTTGCCACCTTTTTTCTTATTATTATATCTGTTACTTGTTTTATATGGAATTAAACTGATTATTGTACCAATCTGAAATCGCACTCCTTGTACTTTTGATCCTGAATTGCGAATCAGAGCCATTGGCCAAAAATGTTGTCGACAGCCAGTGATGATATCTGATTTATGAAACACAAACACTGCAATATTCCATTTCTAAAAAACAAAACAAAAACAAACAGGAACTGTCCGTTTTGATGCCATGTTGACTGTAAATGAGAGCTGCTTTTCTCAGTTTCTCCAATAGATGACAAGAGGCGTCCATGTTACACAGCTCTACTTGTTTAAGTCACCGGCCCACCGGTGGGCCCACATCCATTACATTTTTAAAACAGTAATATCCTATATTAAACCTAAACTAATCTTGACAAACTATATATCATTTGAAAGCTTACAATCTTTAGTTTCCATATTTGCTGACTGATTTTCAAAATGAATTACAGAGGAGCCATAATTTATCAATTTGCAACAAGAATATTTTCATACTCCTGAGGCGGGTTAGACCTTTATTTTGAAATAGTGATGAACATGAAAAATCATGAAAGAAGGGTAGAAACCTCAGTTTGTTTTCATGCCAAGAGTTCAAAAGATAGCATCCATTCAATTATTTTAGAAAAAAAGGTCTGAAATTTTTTTTAAATATAAAGAAAAAAATTATAGATTCACCATTTGTGATGTGGCGGCGAGCTATAACACACATACTTGTTCTTTTTGTGTTTCTTAGAGGTTGAATTCATATCAAAATCTGCCAAACTTCTCATATTACTTCTGAATAGGATGTCTACTTCATAAATTGTATGAAAATTGTGGAAATAATGGTTCATATCACTCAAAACACATTTGGAAATGGAGGCGCCCTTATAAGGGCAGTAATGGAGTCTGGCTGTGCCCTAGTGAAAGCGTTTGGTACTGCGCCCAAACACACTCACTGAAAGCTCATTTTTTGAGATATCAACCTAAAATTTGAAACACAACTTGTTCAGATTTTTGACTTTGATTTTTTTTTGTTGCAGTTTTAGAGTCGCCCAGGTTTTGAAAATATAATATTTTCTATAAAATATGAATAATTAAATTTTTTACATTCTAAATTTTCCTAAACTCAAACTTCTATAACATTTTCTCTGTTTCACTTTCTTAATTTATTTCACTTCTACAAAAATCTGCCAAATGTCTTCTTTAAAACGAGACCAATCTTACGTCTATATTCCAAAGCATTCTTGAATTACAACAATTTAAGTTTGAAATGTTCATGTATATTCAAAAAAAGGGGGGTGACACTTAAAGGGTTAATAGATAAGCAAATTATCAGATAATACCTGGGGAAAAAAACATGATATTTCACTTAGCCGATCATATTACAGCAACAGGATGAACCGTGTTAGGTAGGAACTATCGTGTTATGGTACATTAGAATCTTTGCAGGAACAATGATACAGATAAACAGTGTGTATTCATCATGTTTAGGAGTGTGTGCCATTCACTTTTCTCCTTTACAAGCCCACAGTGTTTTCACTACACAGTCTACGGTCTGTCATTTGGATTAGTGACTAGCGAGCGCAGGCATTTCTTTCCAGCCTGATATTCTACCTTGTCATGTAATATCATAAACATGACATCATTAAAGACATGTGATTTGTCCACCCTAGCGACGGGGTTTCCCATCATAAAGCGTTTTCCACTGCCGACCACGTGACGTGTAGCGTCATGAATGTAGTCACGTCCAATGCGGAAGTGAATGATAATCGAGCATTCGCCCAACGATTCTAACGAAACCGACTTACTGTCCGCGTCCGAAGAGGAATTTACAGGTAAATATGGCGTTTGTTATATCTTAGTTACCGTTTTTATTGGGCCTTTATGATGATTTGTTTGTGTCTGTAGGTTTTGTTTACTTTGTTTACAGAATTAGCTCTTTTAGCCGCTAATCGAGTCTCTTCCTGGTTTGAACAATCAGATTTCTAACGGTTAAAAATGTTATTTATGCGTTCTAAAGAATAGCATAGATGCATCAAATCAATCCATAATAATATTAACAAGTGACTGGTAGTCAGATAGACAGTTTTTTGCCACTTGTTCTGGCTACTTGTCGTGACTCATACTATTAAGCATATCTCTAAGGAAATCGAAATAACAAACAAGCCAATATTTCTTTAAGCGTGTAACCAACAAAAAAGTGCTAGATTATTAACATATGTTTTGACATGTACTTTGGTATTCTTTGTAGTACTTGTAAATACCACAATCATTCGGTACAAAAGTAACGTTATATGAAACCGAACCACGTTGTTTTGATCGGATACCACAGTACTGCTAATGCTTTTTTTGACATGGGTAACATAGGGGACTACTTTTATCTAAAATGATCAGGTTTCTAATAGCTGAACTGTGCTGTTGTCGTGTTATGACGGTGACGACATGATGGGACAGTGACGTCACTCGCCAAACAGGAGGGGTATCTCCAACATCTGTAGATTTAATCACATGCCGGATGCCATTTGACCTTCAATCTGAGTCATTTCTGTCCTTTTTAACCTGATATTTGCTTCCACAGAGCCCTCATCATGCTTGGTGGAGGGTTCAAATCCGAGAGACTGCGTGTCAATCTCAGGCTTGTCATAAACCGCCTCAAACTTCTTGAGAAGAAGAAAAGTAAGTTTGGGTGGTCTACAAGTTGCACATGTTTTGGACGGGCTAAGTTCAACTAATTGCTTTGAATCTGTTTGCTCTGAATTAGCTGAATTGGCCCAGAAGGCTCGCAAGGAAATTGCAGACTACTTGTCAGCGGGGAAAGATGAGCGAGCGAGGATCCGGGTCGAGCACATCATCCGGGAGGATTATTTGGTGGAGGCGATGGAGATCCTGGAGTTATACTGTGATTTGCTGCTCACCAGATTTGGGTTAATACAGTCCATGAAGTGAGTAACCTTTTTATTCTCATTAAATGTGACTTTCCGAAATCACAAACTGTCTTGAGTAGGTACATATTTTGAATAAGTGGGCCTAATTACTTCATGATAGAGCTGGACAATTATGGATAAATTGAGAATCCAATTATTATTATTTTTTAAAATAGAGATCATGATTCTCCCACCACAAATCTGACTAGACAACTAAACAAAATAACATGTAATTTACTAGAGGTTCTGAGAAAATGCTTATTGCTGCAGTCTACTGAAAAAATATTTAATTCATTTTTTTTTAATTGGGTTAAGTGAATGATTCAATGATCACTCACTTATTTCATTGCTGGATGAATCAGTGTTTTTGAACATCTCTTGAATGATTTAACGATAGATACATGATAAAAACAGTCACTTGGTGTAGCTACTGGTGTAGCAATGTAATTGATACAATCTTTATTTATTTATTTTTAAATCTAAATGTATAATTATATAAATGTGAATTGCTGCAGTCTTTTAAAATAAAAATAAAATATTTGAGTTTGAAAAGAAAACAGGTTGAATGAATGATTCAATGACTCACTCATAAAGACTTAACTTGTTCCATTACTTTGGTTTGTTGACCTGTTGTATAATAATCAATGACACGTTTGCAATCAACAACTGCATTCTTGCCCGTATAATATATGATCAACATTAAATACTAGAACAGGGTATGTTTTTGTATCGGAGAGATTTTGAGTCTTAAATCGATCTCTCTGTGTCTATATTGGTAATATATATATTACTTTTACAAAGGTACATTGTCAAGAACGGCAGTAATGTAGCAAGATTTGCTTAGACAGTATATCTGCACGCAACCTATCATATGCTTGTGTGGAGGCAGTCAGTTTTGACAACAAAAGATGAGGGAATTTGATTGGATGTCATGTATTTATGGCATTTTACCAGTTAGAAATACATATTCGGTTTTTAATGTTGTTATTTCAAGTTGGGGTAGAATTAAATGAAAGGCAAAACTCAGTATTTTGTTTGCGTACCCCCTCTGTCACCTCACGTACCCCAGTTTGGGAACCACTGCATTACTGGATGAATCTACATTTTTGAACGAATCTCTTGAATGAATGACTCAGTGACAATAACAGTCACTTGTCGCCACCTACTGGTGTAACGCTGTAATTGATGAAATTTTTTTTAATTGCTATTAAACATTTTTTAATCAGAGTGAGTGAATGATTCAATGACTCACTCATGAATACATCTCGTTTCATTACTAGATGAATCAGCATTTTTGAACGAATCTCTTGAATGAATGATTCAGTGACAAATACATTTTTAACAGTCACGTGTTGCCACCTACTGGTGTAACGCTGTAATGATACAATTGTTATTTGAAGTGTTAAGTCACTTTCAAAAGGTGATTTCCTCTATTTTGATCGCTACTGTATACGTCAGTGTTTATATCTGGACTATAAACTTTTATCTCAGTTCTTCTGTGATCATTTAAATGATTGTAAGACAGAAATAATGAATCTGTGTGATTCAAAAGACTGTTTGTGAATCTGTTTCATATCATGACAACGGCTCTCTCTGGATCAGAACACAGATCTGAATGTTCGCTGTGATCGTTCTTGTCAAAGGTTTAATAGTCAGAAGAATCGCTGTTATTTAGGAGTAAGAGCACGCGGGTGTTTGAATCGAGATTGCGATCTTGTAAAGATTAATCGTGCAGCTCTACTAGCCTCTTTTGTCACATACTGTTTTCCGCCGGCTGTATCGAAGCGAAGTGTGTGATTTCGGATGCTCCGTGTAGATTTTTTACCTAAAAAATAATGTTTCCAAAATGGTTTCAGTGGTTCATTAAGTCGTAACAGGGTGAAAGGCACTTCTGGATCCGCTATGCGGTCCTATATCTGCTATAACCACGCTATGTAAGATTGCCAGATCGGGTCACGTTTCTGTAGTTCTAATGAGACATAAGAAAACTACAAATTTGACTTGCTTTACGTCAAGCGTTACAATAGTCATTATTTTGTTTTTCTTCGTTTCTGATGTCGCAACACATCATACTTTCATGAAATCATGCAACATACTCTAGCTTGTCTGTGGACATCGTTCACTCCAAAGCCGGCGCTGGATAAACAGCGAGCGCGCGTGCGACAGTCGGCTACGCTAGGATAAATTATTTACCACAGCGGTAATGGACAATTCCACTTCCATCCTGTAGGGCGACCGCAGAGGAAAAGCTACTTGGTGTTGCTTTAACTTCACCATCGTCTCTTTCAGGGAACTGGACCCTGGTCTGCAAGAAGCCGTTTCCACACTCATCTGGGCGTCTCCTCGACTGCAGTCAGAAGTGGCGGAGCTGAAGACTGTGAGTAGAAAGTGTGTCCGTCTTAAATCTATTTCTGGAGATCGAGTATGGATCATTCATGTCTTTTTTCCCTTTTTCACAGGTTTCAGATCAGCTGTGTGCCAAATACAGCAAAGAGTATGGAAAGCTATGTAGGACAAACCAGATTGGAACAGTTAATGATAGGGTATGATGAAACAGGTTTGAATAGAGGTGGAAAAATTGGGCAAACATTGCTCTTTTAACTCATGTAAAGTCCTCCTGTGGTGAAAATCCAGCTTTTAATGTTGTTTATGTGTGTATGTGGTGTTTTTAATACGCTTTAAGACACACCATGTGTAAGTTCATAAGTCGACAGCATTGCTGAGTATTTCCTCCTTAAAACTGCAGTGAACCAAAGACAGTCTCAAAAACACGGTTTGAAATCGCTGGTGTTTCTGACGTCACAAACGACCTTGTAACCAATCAGATCAACGTGTGATCATCAACCAGTGGATCTCTGAGCTGAGTGAGTGAGTGGAGGCGGGGCTCTAAATGAGGCAAGGGTGTCGAGTTACATTCAAGATATTTTCAGGCAAGACATTTTTTTTTCAAGGAAAAACGTTTTGGTGATTAAAGATGAGTTTTAAGGGCGAAAAATATTTACACATTTGTCTTAAAGCATATTAAAAACACCACACAGACATATAAACAACATTAAAAACTTGATTTTCACCACAGGAGGACTTTAAAATTAGTTCAAATTCCGGTCTTAAGCAGTCAGAGATACGACTTTTACTCAGTAGATGGAAAATTCCCTAATCTTAAATTGATGGAGAAGCCAAGCCATATACCGAACATCATAGATATTTAATGGGTGGGCTATATATGGCAAGCCGTTTAGCTTAAATTGTACCCAGACTTACTCGTCGTAATGCATTTTTACTAGTAAGAATTCGATTAGAGAGCTCTACAATTCAATTCTTACTAGTAAAAATACAAATAGAGAGCTCTCTAATTCAATTCTTACTAGTAAAACTGATTTAGAGAGCTCTCTAATTGTAATTGCTACTAGTACGAATTGAATTGTAGAGCTCTCTAATTGAATTCTTACTAATAAAAATTAAATTACAACGAGTAAGGCTGGGTACAATTTAAGCTAAAACGGCTTGCCATAGCTATACAGATCTACTTTTAAGCTGTTGTATTGTCTTTCTGCAGCTCATGCACAAGCTGAGCGTGGAAGCCCCTCCCAAGATCTTGGTGGAGCGTTACCTCATTGAGATCGCCAAAAACTACAACGTTCCCTATGAACCGGATGCCATGGTTCGGGTAGGAATCAATTTCCTCTTCCTTTCCGTCTAGCTCATCTCTATAAGCAGCGCTCGTTTCTAACGTCCTGCATGTGTAACGTTCACAGCCAGAGGTGTGCCCGGGGGAAGAGGCCGATCTGATCGATGTGAACAGTGACTTCAGAAAGCCAGGAGGAGGAGCTGGAGGAGGAGGAGGAGGAGGAGGAGGGTTTACTGCTCCTGCTGTTGGCATGCCGATGCCCATGCCCACAGCTTTCAACTACCCAACGCCCAAAGGAGCTGTAAGACACACATCTAACTGGCTAATAGAGCTGCGTGATTCGGGATTAAAGTAGATATCACGATTCTCACACCATTCTGAATAGACAACTAAACAAAACAACATGTTTTAATTTATTAGAGGTTCTGACAAAATGTTGATTGCTGCAGTCTGTTAAAAAAACATTTAGTTAATTTGAAGTTTGCAATCGGGTTTAGTGAATGATTCAACGACTCACTCATAAACACTTGTTTCATTACTGGATGAATCAGCGTTTTTTGACGGAATCTCTTGAATTAAAGCAACACTAAGTAAGATTTTCTACCTTAAAATAATGTTTTCAAAATGGTTTCAGTGGTTCATCAAGTCGTAACAGGGTGAAAGGCACTTCTGGATCCGCTTTGCGGTCCTATATCTGCTATAACCACGCTATGTAAGATTGCCAGATCGGGTCGCGTTTCTGTAGTTCTAATGAGACATAAGAAAACTACAAATTTGACTTGCTTTACGTCAAGCGTTACAATAGTCATTATTTAGTTTTTCTTCGTTTCTGATGTCGCAATACATCATACTTTCATGAAATCATGCAACATACTCTACCTTGTCTGTGGACATCGTTCACTCCAAAGCCGGCGCTGGATAAACAGCGAGCATGTGCGTGCGACAGTCGGCTGCGCTAGGCTAAATTATTTACCACAGCGGTAATGGACAATTCCACTTCCAACCTGTAGGGCGACCGCAGAGGAAAAGTTACTTAGTGTTGCTTTAATAGTTCAATGTGTTAAGATCTGAAATCTGAATCTGTTTCACATCATTCCCCCTCCAGGAGGCTTTTAATGGTCCCGTTGGCACCTATGATGGCTTTAGCAACTTCCAGGCTCCAGCGAGAGGAGGGCTGCCTCCACAACTGCCCAGCTGCCCCCCCACCTATGAGTCTGTAAGTTCAAGCGATCAGACAGACGGAGACGACCTGTTCACCTCGCAGGGAAGAGCAGTTTATTACAGTTCACATTGAAGCATTAACCCCAAAAACTCTTTCTATTAACAACCGTACTGACAAACAGGGGCCTCATTTATAAAGTGCATTTGTTCATAACCTGGATACATATAAATCGGGAATTATAAAGGCAAAAATGTGCTTATGAATACAACTGAAGAGCATGCGTACACATTTTGTGCTCTCATATATTCTAGGGATGCACCGATATGAACATTTTGGCTGATACCGATAACTGATAAATCTTTATATTTGAAAGCCGATAACTATAGAAGCTCGTTTCCACCACAGAATAAAAAAATAAAAAAGGTAATTGCGACTTTTTATCTCAGAATTGCGTGATAGGAAGTCTCAATTGTGTTATAAAGTCAGAATTGTGAGATAAAAACTTTAAATTGTGAGATAAAAACTCAATTGTGAGATAAAAACACTCAATTGTGAGATGATAACTTTCAATTGTGAGATAAAAACACTCAATTGTGAGATAAAAACTTTAAATTGTGAGATAAAAACTCAATTGTGAGATAAAAACACTCAATTGTGAGATGATAACTTTCAATTGTGAGATTAAAACTTTCAATTGTGAGATAAAAACTTTCAATTGTGAGATAAAAACTTTCAATTGTGAGATAAAAACTTTCAATTGTGAGATAAAAACTTTCAATTGTGAGATAAAAACTTTCAATTGTGAGATAAAAACACTCAATTGTGAGATAAAAACACTCAATTGTGAGATAAAAACACTCAATTGTGAGAAACTCAATTGTGAGATGATAACTTTCAATTGTGAGATAAAAACTTTCAATTGTGAGAAAAACTTTCAATTGTGAGATAAAAACTTTCAATTGTGAGATAAAAACTCTCAATTGTGAGATAAAAAAACTCAATTGTGAGATAAAAAAACTCAATTGTGAGATAAAAAAACTCAATTGTGAGATAAAAAAACTCAATTGTGAGATAAAAAAACTCAATTGTGAGATAAAAACACTCAATTGTGAGATAAAAACTCAATTGTGAGATAAAAACACTCAATTGTGAGATGATAACTTTCAATTGTGAGATAAAAACACTCAATTGTGAGATAAAAACTTTAAATTGTGAGATAAAAACTCAATTGTGAGATAAAAACACTCAATTGTGAGATGATAACTTTCAATTGTGAGATAAAAAATTTCAATTGTGAGATAAAAACTTTCAATTGTGAGATAAAAACTTTCAATTGTGAGATAAAAAATTTCAATTGTGAGATAAAAACTTTCAATTGTGAGATAAAAACTTTCAATTGTGAGATAAAAAAACTCAATTGTGAGATAAAAAAACTCAATTGTGAGATAAAAAAACTCAGAGATAAAAAAACTCAATTGTGAGATAAAAACACTCAATTGTGAGATAAAAACTCTCTTGAGATAAAAAGTCCCAATTATATTTTAAAATGTTTTATTCTGTGGCGGAAACGAGCTTCCATAGATAACCGATATTATGGCCAATAAATCCAAATCCAAGTTTTTATATAATTTTTGAGAACCTGATAACAAAAAACAAAAGCCTCATCATTAAAATCATGCGTTTAGACCATTTCTATTGTGCCTAATGGATGTTTTACATGTAAGTTAGCATAACATCTTGTAAACTGCGTTATGTTGATATTCAGTCCTTGTCTTTCTAAATGAGGTGTCCATGTTCACTCCAGGGTTCAGGGTCACTCCGGGTCACATTAATACTAACTCTTCACAGTATGAGTATACCAGTATTGAATATTTGTTGTTAACCTGTTTCATGTGTTGTTTTAAGATCGATGATTTGTCAATCAAACCCTTTGATTCTTCCCAGATCATCCCAGGTATGCGCTCTATCCTAATATGAGTTATTCCCGCTCTCATTCTGATAATCTTGTTTGTAAAAGCTGTGTTTGGTCTCTAGGCCCGACCCCCTCTGGTCAGATCTATGACAACTCGAACCTTCCCGAACTCCCGTCTGTTCCCAACACACTCCCGGCCTCGTCCTTCGGAGGGAACGCCAGCGCATCGGAAGACATCGACTTCGACGACCTGTCACGACGCTTCGAGGAGCTCAAGAAGAAGACCTAAACACTCGAAGCACACCCATGTTTTCACACTCTCAGATCTTCTGGTGGAGGTGTATTATAATATTTCTTACCTAACACAATGAAGGATGGGATGTAGTATACAAACGGACTACTAACAGAACGCGACCTTTTTATGAGCACTTTGCTGACCGCTAAACTCAATCATCTCTAGTGTAAGTCACTGCATCATTTAGATGAGAAGTGTTAGCTTTAGCTTTCCCCACCGGTAAATCACGGACTCCTCTTGGTAAAAGCAGGAATAACCTGTTTCCATTACTGACACCCAGAGTTGTGTAACTCTGTGAACCTGCATAAGCCTGTGATCGCATGGGTATCAATCGTCTTGCGAAGTGACTCGGCGTTTTTGTTATTGACAGCCGTGATGTTCGAAGCCTCGCATTTATGAATCATCTCTTTGTCCTGACGTTTCTGGTGATGTAGTTTTAATGCTGTATATTTGAGAGGTTACACCTGTCAGCCTTCTTGATTTGATCTACAGTCGATAACACTCCTGTTGTGTGTCTCGTCTGTGTGTTTTCTGCGCTGAGTTTGCCTTAGTTTCCGTCTCTTGAACTGTGGCCTTGCCGTGCCACACCTCTCTCTCTCTCTCTCTCTCTCTCTCTCTCTCTCTCTCTCTCTCTCTCTCTCTCTCTCTCTCTCTCTCTCTCTCTCTCTCTCTCTCTCTCTCTCTCTCTCTTCTCTCTCTCTCTTCTCTCTCTCTCTCTCTCTCTCTCTCTCTCTCTCTCTCTCTCTCTCTCTCTCTCTCTCTCTCTCTCTCTCTCTCTCTCTCTCTCTCTCTCTCTCTCTCTCTCTCTCTCTGGGACACGTGACTGACAGCATTTAATAAGTCATTTACATGCTCATGCTTCTCTCTGGTGGGGGTTTCATCACACCGGTGAAACTCGAAAAATTCAAATATGGTGCAAAAGTTCATTTATTTCAGTAATTCAACTTAAAAGGTGAAACTAATATATTATATAGACTCATTACATGCAAAGTGAGATATTTCAAGCCTTTATTTGTTATAATTGTGATGATTATGGCTTACAGCTTATGAAAACCCCAAATTCAAAATTAGAATATTGTGAAAAGGTTTTCATAAGCTGTAAGCCATCAGAATTATAACAAATAAAGGCTTGAAATATCTCACTTTGCATGTAATGAGTCTATATAATATATTAGTTTCAGCTTTTAAGTTGAATTACTGAAATAAATGAACCTTTGCACCATATTTGAATTTTTCGAGTTTCACCTGTATATGATTGGCTTATTTATAAGAGTTGACAACATCTGTCAATGTCTTAGGTTTGGATTGTATAGTGGTTTTATATCTGTGATTGCTTTTCCCTTGAGTTTATAACACTAATTTGACACAAATCATCTAAATACAAATCTGCCAATGTTTAGGTATGTCAGATGCTGATTTTAACTTGCATTGAAAACATGCCGTGTAATAAAGTATATTTGCTCGTAACCTTAGGACTTCTCACTTAGATTCACTGAATGATAATAATAACTTTACTAAACTGCTGTAACAACAAGTCTTTCCATTAATGGAGACTATAATGCTTTATATGCTTGATGAAGTTTGCATGATGTGAAGAAGCTCTGCTTTTATACTCTTCATCACCACTAGAGGGTGAAGGAATACAACTTAATAATAATAACAGCTCTTCCTCGATGTTTTTCTGAAAACTTATTTTCTTGTTTACATCAATTCTTAATCAATTAAGCAAATTGCACAATAACTAAATCCTCGAGACTTTCTGAACAAAACTGACACGTTGTCAAACTCTTCACAGCTTTTATTGTGTGAGCCATTGCATGCAAAATCATCCATTTAATTTTAAAAATCTGTCCGACATGAATGTTTATTACATAAATACCTATGACATGAAAGGTTTTCTATTTACATGTAACATTGCTACAAAAATAAATTCAAATGTACCTATTCTATTCTATATTCTACTATACTTTTGGTGGCATTTGCCAATTGACATACAAACTGGTTTTGAAGCACGAATGAAATGTTTTGGGTGAGTTATTGTGTTTTTGAGTTGTGAGGGCTCGTATATAAAACGTGTGTACGCATAGATATGATCTTAGATCAAATGTAGGAAGGTTTCTACGCAATATTTCATAAATGAGACCCAGAGTTTAGAGAATGTCAGATTGAGAAAAACATAACCAATTTAGCACAAAATTATGAAAAGCTCTTACAAATACACGTGAACCATTTGCATAAATAAAGACCTCTTAAAATAGGTCAAGGTCACTTTTATTTATATAGCACCTTAAAACAGCATTTCTGCTGACCAAGGTGCTTCACAAAAACACAAAATAAAAACAAACATCGTACAAATTTCATAGTATAAAATTTTAACTCACTAAAGCTACATATCCACAGTTATGAGTACGCCAGAGAAAAAAGATGTGTTTTCAAAGCTGACTTGAAAATACATGTGTAATGCACAATTGTACAACATTTTGACAAATCCATGCTTTTTTATGTGTTGATTTGTTGACTACAAATACCCTCTCATGCCCTCTTGTGATTGGTTGTATAATCAATTAAAATAACTTTTAGATATTACATTGCAAGGTAATTATGTGCATTATACTGTGAGTACATTTTTGTGTATATTGGTAACACTTTACAATAAGGTTCATTAGTTAACATTATTTAATGTATGAACTAACAATGAGCAATACATTTGTTACAGTATTTAGTTAACTAATGAACCTTATTGTAAAGTGTTACCGCATTATTTTGATCACTTATATGAGAGACAGTGCGAGATGGGTCATTTTGATATTGAGAAGGGCAGGGTGTGCAACATACTCATCATCATCATCATCATCATCATCTCTCCATGTGTGACCAGGCCAGAGATCAGGCTAGGCATTCGCACACTAGATAGTGAGTGGTTTAGACAGCTTCATCTCCCCTGCTGTGGTTTACTGGGTCACGCCAGCCGCCACCCCGAAATGCTCTGTCAATCCCCGCATGTGTCAGTCTAGCCGACACTATATTTCGTGTGAGCGCACACACGTGTTCTTACGGTCAGACCGTCATCTGGACTGAAAAGAATTGATCTTCCGGCGAAGTCGATTTCACATTCAGTTATTCTATCTATCTATCTATCTATCTATCTATCTATCTATCTATCTATCTATCTATCTATCTATCTGTCTGTCTATCTATCTATCTATCTATCTATCTATCTGTCTGTCTCTAATCTATCTATCTATCTATCTATCTGTCTGTCTGTCTGTCTGTCTGTCTCTAATCTATCTATCTATCTATCTATCTATCTATCTATCTGTCTGTCTGTCTGTCTGTCTCTAATCTATCTATCTATCTATCTATCTATCTATCTATCTATCTATCTATCTATCTGTCTGTCTGTCTATCTGTCTGTCTGTCTGTCTGTCTGTCTGTCTCTAATCTATCTATCTATCTATCTATCTATCTGTCTATCTGTCTGTCTGTCTGTCTGTCTGTCTGTCTCTAATCTATCTATCTCTAATTATCTATATATCTCTATCTCTCTAATGATCTATCTATCTATTTATTTATCTATCTATCATCTATCTATCTATCTATCTATCTGTCTATCAAACTATCTATCTCTAATTATCTATACGTCTATCATCTCTCTAATGATCTATCTGTCTATTTATCTAACTATCATCTATCTATCTCTAATTATCTATCCGTCTATCATCTCTCTATCTATCTCTCTAATGATCTATCTGTCTATTTATCTAACTATCATCTATCTATCTCTAATTATCTATCTATCTATCTATCTATCTATCTATCTATCTATCTATCTATCTATCTATCTATCTATCTATCTATCTATCTATCTATCTATCTATCTGTCGTTTAGTAGTGAAGTCATTTACAGTTGTATCACATTTCACCAATTTCAGCCCCAGGATAGATTGCATGAAAAAAAAATACATGTTAAAATTAGCAAATGATGGCTTTGCAAAGAGTCTTCTTATGTCTATAAAGTGGTGTATGATGATATTTGAGAAAGGAGTATGCTCTTTAAAAATAAAATAAAACTATTTTCCCGCCAACGTTTTTTGGGGCCACCGCCAGCGTTTTTGACCATTTTCACAAAAGTTTCATGACCCCCAGAATATCTGAATATGCAACATATAAAAAAAAAGAACAGACCCTCTGCTTTTTAACCAAAAAAAAAATCCCTTTTATTCTAGCTTCATGCATTATTTTTTTTATCAACACTTATGTGGGTAAGTTTCATAGAAAAAAACCCCAGAGAAAATCACTTTTTTGTCGAAGAATATGTCTGGATCATATTCAGAACGAATCCGATGATTAAACACAGATGGAGTCGATCGAGTTCATCAACACCTCAAAGCTCCTGTAGCTCGTCCTGGGTCACATTTCATTCAGTAACATTAAGCTGTTTGATTTTGATGATCGCGTTATTTCATATATGCAAACGATTATGTGATCGTTTTGATCAGGAGATTCTGTACTCGTTCACAAGATGTAATAGCGCCCCCTACCGTATAACAGTGAAAACATGGAAAGCCAGAAAACTCAATGGCAGGGAAAGAGTTAACTGTTAAAACAAGACTCATTACTTAAATAATTAAGATTTTAAAAACGGGACCTATTATGTAAAATTCACTTTTACTCCGTTCGTTATTTTCCCAATAAATTTGAAAGAGTGTCTCAAAATGTCCGTTCATGATGCACTCCAATGTGACGTCGGTGGAACAGGCTCCGCCCACGACTGGCTTAGCTCCTCCCCTGAGTGCGCGTTCACCGTCCGCCATGTTTTTCTCCTCACCAGAGCATTTAAAGCATTAAAGTAAGACATTGATTCGTATTAAAGCTTTTAAAGTTATTCAGTCAGAAGCAGTGAGAGATTTCTGTTGTTTGATTCACATGAACAGCATAGACAGCAGCAGTCTGTCACTTTAACACACAGATCTAATATAGGCTACACATGCGATTTCTTTCGAGCTGTTTACATTCACAGACATAACAGACTGTGTTTATGTAGCATTTGTGTGTTTTTGACAGTTCAAGCACAACAAGCCACGACTGAGAACTTAGTGCTCATGCTTCGTCACATTTTAAGATTTCTAAGATTTTCTAATGCTATTTAATGTGATCTGTTTGTATTCAGTTCTTATATTTCTTTAATTAAAAGGGACTACTGCGCATATGCTTATCTGTGCTAAATTTTACATAAATAAATCACAAGAATCCCATGCCAAAACCTTTGATACAGGCTGCATTTAAATCCCCCTTGACCTGTACATAAACTCTGTAATATGAAATTTTCCTACAATGAATTTTGTCCTATTTCTGCTCGCTGTCAAAGCTGAAATGTTCCACCTAAATACAAAGTACAAAGCATAGTTTTTTGTGAATTCAGTCCCAGTTTCAACTACAGGCAACTTACTGAGAGAAGGAAGCGCCAAAGGAATACGGTCATTCACATTAGATGTGTTGTTTCATTAAAAAAAAGTGATATGAAACGCAACAATGTAAAATGAACTGAAATAAAAGGGATTATTCCTTGTCTTGCTGTATATAATGGTGGGCATCTAGATCTAGATTTCACCTTGTTCACCTCTCATTCACTTCATGCATCTATTTTTCTACAGAAAGAATAGGCATGGTTGCAGTGGACTTTGTTAAAAAGTCTCAGTAATGATTTGATGGCGTGACAGTTGTCAGTTTTTTTAAACCTCAGGCGTCCATCTTCTCCTCACATCTGTGTTTAGTGTCATGAAGTCTAGCGGGTCACGGTTCCTGAGCGTCACACACTTCACCCATGAGAGAACAGGTCTGTCCAACGCCTCAGGCGAAGTACAGGCCCATGAATAACCCAGGTCAGGGTAACAGGTTCTGTCACTCGCTGAAGCTCAGTCGCTCTTATGACAGAACCTGAGAGCATACGCCATGGAGGAATGACTGGGTCATGCGTTATATATTTAATCATGGTGGATCTATACTGTTGTTAACCAGTTAGTGTGTCTGATAACATGTAGAGCACAGAGATTAGCATGTGGTGTGCAGGGTCCCCATGTTTGAGTATAACTGGGTCATTTCCAGGAAGCGACACCGTTTGTCGGACCGAATGCAATGATCGGATGAACATTTTATGGTATGGTATGGTATGTAAGGGATAATGTATAGTTATTGATTGTCAAATTATTGATTTATTTGGTAGGTAGCCATGTAATAAGCGGGATAATGTATAGCGGGGCGGTTGTTATAGCGAATACAACCCCGACAGGCTGATCGCGGAGGGGTCTTGAATCAGTCTGAGGGGGTTGTATTCGCTATAACAACCGCCCCGCTATATATTATCCCGCTTATTACATGGCTACCTACCAAATAAATCAATAATTCGACACAAAATGTTGATTTAAAAAGGAGTTTATTTATTCAAAAACGATTGTATTGCTTCCGCTAAAGAAAATAGTCCGTTCGTTCCGTCTCTTAACTGAGTCCATGGCAACGCTCTGTTTCTCTTACGAGAGGTTCATTCGTCTCCTCATAGGCTTAAGCAGTTCTCTGTGAGCGAACCAATGAGCTGCTAGCTAGCCCGTTCATTGTCTGCTGCAGCTGAACTGCGTTGACAATGGATACAAAATTATAGGATAATTTTTTGGCTTAAATTTCTCAGAGAAGATAAATCTTTCCCGTAGCGTAAGCTAGCTTACGCAATACTCGTTCCCTCATCTAGAGAGAACCGAGGTTACGTTAGGTAACCGATTCGTTTTCATGGCAACGGTGTCGGTGTTATCAAGAAATAACTGACCGCATTCTACTGTAGAATTCAACCAAGCCATGTAATACATATAAATACATTTAGACCCCATAATTTAGTGATTGTTATCAGGATGTGGAGACTTTCAACCACCATAAAAAATAATAATGAATGACCTACCCTGCATTTAAGCAATGTTTGAAAAGCCATTATGCAATAATATATACAGCGAATGTGATTTTCTAAAAGTTCAGCAGTAACATCTGATATGGTTAAAAAAATGTTTTTTAATTAAATCCACGATGCACATATCAGGCCGGAGGAAACGAGTCACAGTGAAGATATTCATTAAAATTACTTATTTTTAAAAATATTTGATCATTTTCACACTTCTCTTGGTAGCAGTTACTGAATTTATGGAACATGTTTTGTTTACAAGCTTTGCATATTTATTTGTGTTTGTGAGTGTGTGTGTGTGTGTGTGTGTGAGAGAGAGAGAGAGAGAGAGAGAGAGAGAGAGAGAGAGAGAGAGAGAGAGAGAGAGAGAGAGAGAGAGAGAGAGAGAGAGAGAGCGTTTGGTGCAACATGACTGAGTAAATGTATACAAAAAGTATTTTGGTTGAACTATTCATTTAAATCTTCAATATAAATGTAATACACAATTTGTGATCCGTATCCCGTGTTCTTCTAGTTAATATTGTAACGTATGCAAGTAGAATCTGTGTGGCAACAATACCTGTGGCGTTTTCTGAAGATTGGGTATTTGTTTCTAAATCCTCCTCAGATTTTGTTACAAACAAGGATTTTCCATGTTGATTTGGAAGTCTTATCACAACACAAGGAACACGCCTATCCCAGGATTAAAGGTGGGGTTTGCCTAATGGAAATAAAGACATGTTTCCATGAGGCAACCCAAAGCTAATGGTGATTTGTTTAGTTGAACACGTAGCAGTGTGTATTTGCAAGGTGTAACATTTAAACACTGCCAATTTTATGGTCTTGTTCCCAATTTCTTTGATCTAGTACATTACAATTTAAAGTACTTCTCATCTATAGTTTCATTTCATTGCACTCTGGTGATTTGATCTTTGATGTTATATAACTTTCTTTAATAAATACATTTGTGCCTTTACCAACACAGACAAAGTCTACGGCTATGAATTTGGATGTTTCTTGTACTTTCATGTATTATGCTTTGGAAACTTACCAAGATTATGTATTCACAAGAATCAACTTGACAATGAAAAACAAATAATATTTAAATTTTTTCTTTCCAAATATATATTTTTCCAATCCAAGGAGAGGTCAAGCTTATTAGATGCCGAGACTTCAAACTGTATGTAATAACATTGACTTGTACAGTAATGCAGCAGATCATCCAGTTATTCAATGCATACAGAATATATTTGTAGCATGCACACAATATTTACCATACTACACTGAAGAAAAAACATTAATATTAGTATGCAAGCCATTTTTTATTGCAGTGTCAATTGGTGCGGCCACAGTGGTTTAACTTTGCTTAAAGCAAATTGCATTGCTTTTCCAATTGGCAATGAAGAGCAAGCTTGTTCAGCCTGACAAACACAACATTATCAAAAATAACATTTGCTTTAATTGCAATTAAAATCAATATTTCCATTGCCATTGTTGAAATTCCATTTTTATTTTTTACGAAGAGTGATATGACTTGAATCTCCATCACAAGGAATAAATCACTGCACCTTTAAAGTTTGAATGGCTTCTTCAATTTACAGTTAAATATAGAAAAGTTTCAGATAAAAAAATTATGTTAGTCACAGAAACTGACTGAGTTCGTATGATGGATTCAATGTCTAGAAATAAGAGAGATATAGCAAACAGCATAAGCCTCATCCTTTGGAAATGATGTTCATCAACAATGTTCAGAAATGTAATGAAATATAATGCATTACGTGATTTAAACGGTTAACATTACCTTCACTGTTACAAATCGTGAGCATTTATTCAAATTCATATATTCCTTTAACATAATGGTGACATTTTTACATTTATAACACCGACAAGGCACATCATTTCTAAAACACAATCCAGAGTGGTTCCAGTTTTGTAAATTAATGTAATGTACAGGATAATGTGGCATTAATGCGCAGTGGTAAACGCAGAATGTTAGGCATTATGATCATGTGATCATTCGTTGTGGGTCTGTGGTTGTTCAGGTGTGGCTCGATGATCCGCACCCACTGCCTCTGCTACACACGCAAAACCTTGTGCCCTATTAATAAAATAAAACAAATGTGTTTAATACCATTATGTTTGTTAACATTTAGTAGGAATGTAACAGTACACTGAAGTCACGGTTCGGTACGCATCTCGGTTTTGGGGTCACGGTAGGAACAAGCAACAATAAATCCCAAATGCTAGGTTTCTTATTTATTTTGAACAGACAGTCGTGCAAATTACAGTTTGTTCCACCTAATGGCGTTTAGTCCGCTAGTTGGTCCAGTACAGCCTCCTTTTGATGCATTTAATTGTATCAAGAATGCCTTACAGATGAAACAAAAAAATACAATCGAGGAAAAAACACAATAAAGTCCAGGATTGTGGTCCTCAACACATAACATCAAGACAAGACACATCGGTGTTCACACCGAACGCGAATTTAATTATTTGCGAGAGTAGATTACATACAAAGTCAATGCAGACGCGAATAGACGCATCATTCGCGCCAGGCGTTGCGAATGACGCGAATTGGGCGACGCGTTTGCCGCGAATGTCTTCCGCGCAAGTTGAAATATTTGAACTCGAGCGAATGTTCAAGCGTCTAACTAGACGCGATAGACGCGTATTTGACGCTCTAATCGCGTTCGGTGTGAACACACCATTACTGATTGTGTGATAATCAATGACATAACATAAAAACGGTAACTAGAATACACAAAGTAAACAGAATACACTCTTGCAAAAGAGTATTTGGTTTTAGTTAACAATCAGCTATAAAACTAAAAAGCATCTTGTGTTATAAAAGTACTAATTAAATTGACCCTTCGCAGGGAGCTTGATTGACAGGTGATCTGACGAATCATACTTCGCCATCCGCCATTTTGTCCGACAAAGCAGTCAGGAGAGTTAGTAGATTAACATGGGAGGATTTGAACTTGAAAAACGTAATGTACTGATGTCTTTCTGCGATTAAAACAACATTCCTTCTTATATTCATTCATGTTTATTTGATGCTATAAATGAACTAGAAGGAAGAGATGATCGGATCACGAGCAGCTTTAACTGATGCTCTACAGCGATCTGTCACGACACATTAAAGAGTCACAAAACGGAATTTATTGTTTACATTTCTTTTTTAAAAATGACCAAATTTGAAAGGTGAGACTTATGTTTAATATGTTTAATATCAAAAGTAACCGAAAAGTAACTGTCTGTCAGCGTGTTGTCAGTCCGCGATGTATCACTGCGTGAGAACACGGTGTGTGTGTGTGTGTGTGTGTGAGAGAGCAGCGTACCTTGTCGGACATAGCGACAGTAACTGAGGGGGACGGGTCTTTGCGAACGGTCAATTGAATAATGCAAAATCAAACTTGTGCGGAGATTAGTTTTCTTTGCGCGTGAGAGTTCATTAACATGCGGTGACAATGGCGGATGCACAAAGTTCAATATTACGCTTTTTCAAGAAATCTCGTAAAGACGAGCGAGACGGAGAAAAAGAGTCGACTTCATATTTCCAGCACACTCATATTTCATCACTGGACTGAAGTGAGATTTACACGACACAAATCGACACATTGCCAAATGATTGTCTCATTATAACAGCGAAAACCACTTAAAATACTCTTAACACAAATTGAAATTGCGAATTGAAAATATTTCCACGCAATTTTCGCATAAAATCCCATATATTGCAAAAAAAAGTTTTTACGCTGTCATCATGAGGTGGTTTTTCAGGCAATTCGAAATAGGAAATATTTACAAGTCACATGACGTACGTTAAAGTCGATCATTCTTTAAAGAGTGTGTTTGGACAGAAGACGAGGCAGTTCTTCATTAAACTCATAAAAGACAAAAATATTACAGGAATAATGGATTCTAAACAATAAAGAAATGAAAATGTATCAAGATCTTGAAGCAGAACTGAGGGAGAAACACCCAGAAACACTCATATGAGCCGCTCACGAGTATAAGAGGCTTTCCTTCCATTAATGCTTCAATAATACACCTATGTCTCCTATTAATAATAATAAGCTAGTGCGGCGGCTGAGATACACGTAAACCTACTAACATCATAGACTGTAAAAAAAGATGGACGACGCCCCTTCGCTCTCTTCCATTGGTCAGAAGTGAAGCCGCCAGTGTCCCGATATGGCGCTGACATCTTGGAACTTGAGTCTGCGCAGAAGCGATCTCGGGACCAGACCTGCGCAGTCGTGAGCAGGAAGTAAAGCCACGAAATCAAGGCCCCACCCTCACTCTCGCAGAATCAATCGCAAGCACACGCTCCGGCACTTTTTTCAAATTAATTATAAAAAATTTAGATATTAAATTTAAAGCTCCAATCTCCTCAGTCCTCCGAAGATCCTGAAAAAAAGTCTGTTGGTGCTTCAGTGACTACTTCGCTCAGAGAACCTGTCAATCGTGACGTCACACCACCGCATCAAATAACTAACTAAAAACAAACTTATTTTAAAAACAAACACTTGAAATTACATCAGCGTGATAAAAACTACACTAAATGACAGAAACCATCTTTGGAAAAACGATATTTGAAGTGTAATTTAACCCTCTAAGAGCCACGGTCGAGTTTACTCGACAAGATGCGGCATAGGGCTGTTGGAACGAATTCCGAAATTCGAATATAATTCGAATATTAAAAAAATCAATACTATTCGAATGCTGAAGTTACTATTCGAATATTGTTTTTTTATGTATATATTTTTAAAAAATGTATACCGTAAAACTTCAAATAATAGCCGAGTCCCAAATAGACGCCTGTCTCTTTTACACGCCTGGTGTGGCTGCAGGTTTGGGTAAATAAAGGCCGGTCTCAAATAGAGGCCGGGTCTGTTTTTTAGTTTCGGGTTGTATTTAATCTTCTAAAACCCGTCAGATCGTCTGCTTTTTGGCGGCCGCCAACGCAAATGTTTGTTCCGCCAAAGCCCATTTTGATCGGTGAGTGATGTAGACTAGAATGACTGCTGCGCATGACAGGACGCATAACGAGCAGAGAGAGAGAAAGAGAGAGCGCCCCGGCCGCGCGCGCGCACTCTCACGTCTTCAAACAACATGGGCGCTGTCTTGCTCTCTCTCCCTCGCGCATATTAATCAAAACCAATTGATACGATAGTAAAAGGTCGGAAGTTTCACGTGGAGCATTTGGATATTTTTAGAGATTAGAGACTCTAAGCCTACACTCAATGAACAACATCTCAACACTAAATTATAAAGGCCTGTCTCATATAGACGCCTGTCTCAAATACTACAAGCCGGTGCAGTGCGACGATTTGGGAAAATAAAAGCCCGGGCTACTATTTGAAGTTTTACGGTATGCAATCTTGCCTTTCTCACCACCTTGGCTTACACACATGTGAAAATGAAATGCTTTTGTTTTGTCTGATGAACAATAAAGTTTTTGAATAGTAACACAATTGTGCACGTTATCCACGTTGATCATCATAACAATACTGTCAAAAATGGTAAATGTTTAACAACGTAAAAAAGCGCCCGTGAAGAGCAAATATCTCGGTGAAAACTCAACGGATTCGGCGAGCACCGAACTCGTTGGAACCGTCTAGTCGAACTGAAAAGAACGATATAAGTTTCAGAATTTTTGGTGGTGTTTTAGCGGAGATATTAGCCGAAAACCATCGGTAGCGCTTCAACCATATTCAGCACAAATAAAATGTTTATTGTAATGTTAGATGTCCCTCTAGTGGACAGAACGTGTAACAACAACCACATGCTAAGCCTGAGTAATGTCGTAAATATTAATAATAGGATGAATTTGAGCATTTAATATTCGAATATTATTCGAATATTAAATGAAATAAGGAATGGAATTCGAATAGTATTATAGAGGAAGATTGACAGCCCTAATGCGGCACTGAATAAAACGGCCGATTTTGTCAAATTGGGTGTCAAATTTCATTCAACCTCCCCTCCACTGGATGGCAGACATGTCATACTTCATCCCCGAATCAAAAAAACGTCATGTTTCTATACAAAATGTTCCGAGTTAGAGCGCATTGAATCTGCGATCAAAAGCGGAGCTAGTGTGCGAGTGAGCCATGTTATCAGATCCTCTCCGCAATCGCGGCAACAGTATTGTGGTGGAGACTTTGTCTAATGCCACTGGGTATGTTAGACGAGGTCAAGTATTCATAGGACAGTTAGGAGGCGACATGGAGGCAGGGTGGGGAGTCACAATGACAATGACAGTAGTCCGAGCGGTGCACACTCGGCGCGGGCGCGAGGCAGATCTGGCCGCGCTGCTCGTATCATCTCACTCATGATCTGTGCGAGTGAGCGTTTGAACTAAACAGGTGTTGTCTACTTGTGTTTGTATGTCATATGAATAATATATATGTGCCCCATACATGGAATCAGAGTGCCTACTGTATTTAGTAAATGGAAAATCTCTACAGCAAAAGGCCAACCACTACATGCATTCGGTTTGTTTCTATCATTTATTAGTAATGATTTACACAGTTTGTTTACTACTTACTATATACCTGAGCATTCAGTATTGTGCAATATAGCATAGAGAAGGTGAGGGACATTTTGGGGGGAAAGAAGGGCTGCATTTTATCATTTAAACATGAGACTTTTCATGAAAAATCTATAATCCAAGATTGCCGCCACTATATGACGTCATAATATGCAAGTTAGATGGGAAAATGTAATCCCTACATAAACTTTGGGTCATCCTTAATATTTCTCTAATTTACAGAAAGTCTCTATCTTTTATCACTTTTAAGATATAGCCTTTTGAAATTAAGATGTCAAAATCTAACGTTTTAGGAAAAAACCTCTGGCGCCTAAAGGGTTAATTGTTTAGTTGGTCTCACATGCAGTTGAATAACATGGGGAGGCGGGGTTTATGAGCTATACTAGGACCGGCCACCGGGGGGCGATCGAGACGCTTTGGCTTCACTTTTCAGGGCTTGTGCGGCACGCTTGACTAAGAACCGTTGCCATGATTTTTGGATTGACTTATCGCAAGAGAAAAAAAAAAGATGTTTTAGTCGCATAACAACAGTTAATGGAAATGCTGTCATTTCGCAATAGTTTTTTATTGACATTTAGAAAATATCACGCAAATCTGTAACGGCTTGTGTTTGTGGTCTGACTGTACGCACCGAAGCGCGACGGTTTGAGACGAACACTTGTACCGTCACACCCCTAATATCTAGAGAAATGGAAAAAACATGTGTATGCTCACTTCAACAGGTCGTCCAGCTCTCTCTTGATTCTGTTGACCACCGGCGGACCCTGGTACACGAGAGCCGTGTAGAGCTGCACGAGAGACGCTCCCGCGAGGATCTTATCAAGCGCGTCCCGTCCGCTGGCCACTCCTCCCACGCCGACAATGGGCAACTTCCCTGCAGACTCACACACAAGCTTACTTCCTTATTAATCAAACTCACACACAAGCTTACTTCCTTATTAAT